TGAACTACCAGTGTTCAGTGACTTTATCGCTTGGCCGCGGTGGTCTCGAGAAATTGAACGGAACTGGGAAGTTTAAAATTCAATGAATTGTCTAAAATAATGTTGAGTAATTTGATAATTCCTTACAGCAATGCAGGCCTTGACGATTTTCTTTCTTACTAAAACAAGAGCTAAACTTAAATCTGATATTTATGATAAAACAAACTTTTAATTAGCAAAATATTGATTTAATTACTGTTTTTATACTAAAAGGTACAGATAACATATATATATAGTAATTTGCATATTTGGCTTTTGTATATATCTGTTGCTTGGCACTGTAGTGTTGAATTCGGTATATGAAGTTAGCTCAGTTGTGGACTGATAGAGATCAGATTTTGTGTATGAAAACCACATTGTGACCAACATGTTTTTGTTTTTATTTTAAATGTTTTTGCACATGTTAAAATGTTTGATTGTTTTAAATACGGCATATCGGTTTTTAGAATGAAATCTACTGTTTTAAAATATCTCCTAGACACCGAAACGAGCAATATTACCTGCATATAGTGTATACTATATGTGTATATTTACATGCAAGGACTTTTGCACCACTTGCAAACTAGTAACTGTCATACCATACATTTAATATTTAAATTTAGTATTGATTAAAAAACTTTTCATTCCAAACACTTTTATCTTTTAAAAAACAGGATATTTTCCCGAGGGATTTTTTTCTGATTTATTAGGAGATTCTGATTTTTAAGTTCAGTAGATTGGCATCTCTGTTATTATTGAGAATTTCAAAACTGAAATTTTTTAAAGTGAGAATTAATATGCTTTAAAAATTCTAATGCGTAACAAATTTACATCCTTTATAATAACTGATTTCTGTTTTTTAACTCGCTAAATTTTTGGACATTTGCTTATGGATGCAACATACATTAAATTGTGATTTTTTTAAAAAACATTTTTGCTTGAATTCGAGAAGTCCCCCTCCCCCAAGTCTTGCTATGCTGCCTAAATGTAGCGGGGAGGATGTAACTCAACGGGATGGACGAAGTACGTCTGCGTATAGACACGGCTAGCTCTAACACAGGGATCTGTGTTCCCTTATTGAGCTCCATGGTGGTTGGAGTGATCGAGCTTCGAACCCTTTCTATTTACAATATTGCATCTTTAAATTCTCCCAACCACATGGAAGCGAAAACTTTTGGAACTGTTAAGCGAATATACGCTTCTGTCATAGTTAGCGAGAGCAAATATCCTGAGTTCTTAGTCATCTCAACTAGAAAATGTATTACCATTTCTCGTTCATAAGCCTCAACTGGTGAGCCAAAAAACTAAAAAAGCTTAGTTCAAGATCTCTGTTTATCGAGAGGCTATCTGATGCACAATCCTCTTGCCTCCTAAAATGACAAATATGAGTGAGAGTTGTATTAGTGTCTTCACATAATTCTTTGAATACATCCAGAGGTGTCATTTTATATATTTCATATCAGTCTCTGAGAAAAAACAAAAGAACTGGCTGAGAAAAACGTGTGTGGGGCTCACCGAATTAAAATCGGTAAAGATGGGCAACGTCTTAACATGAAACATATTATCCTGACGTTCTCATCTCCAGGGCTACTAAAATCCATTAAGGCAGGTTACCTCAACTGTACCATGAGATCTTAGGCGGGGAACCGACTGCGCTGTTTCAAGTGTCAGCTGTTTGGTCATGCAAAGGCCGCATGTCGTGGGAACCTGATGTATGCTCGCTGTTCTGTGATTGGTCATGAAAATCAGTACTCCACTGCCAATCCAAAATATGTAAATTTTCATGTCGACCTTCCATTATATTCACGAAATTTCCCTAAATGGGAAGAGAAATAAATGCAGCATATCAAAATTATTAGGAAGTCTGCTATCCTGAAAATAAACTGTTTAGCATCGGTCACCAAAAAAGGACCAATCTAAGCCGCCAGATCGTATCGGTCAATATCGAAACATCTCATAACATACAGAAAAAATATCAGAACCAAAAATAAATGGCAGCGAAATATTTTTAAATCTTTTTTCCTCCCAAGCAGAGAACAGAAAACTCGGAAATAAAAGCAGTTCAAAAAAACAAAATATATAGCCCTAAAAACAGAAGCCCAAGGCGACTCTAAGGGATATTTTCTGACATCATCGAATCTGAGATGGAAAGAGAGGAAGGCAAAACATGTCTTGCCTCATGAAACAAAAACAAACAAACAAAAAAAATAAAAAAAAAAAAAACTGCATCACAGTAATAAACTGTCTTAATGGCCACTCTTATATCTTGGAACTGTAGTGGCTTTCTGCAAGAACTTGACGGTGTTAAACAGCTCATTAATAATTATCAACTTCTTTATATAGGAGTACAAGAGACATTCCTCAAACCTGATAGTTCCGTAGAACGTTTTAGATAATAAATAATAAGAAAGGAACGAAGCGAACTTTTGAGCAGTGATGTAGGTCTGCCTACGTCAATTAACTGTTAAGTGCTCTTTCCCTTTACAAACCCCTCTCTAAACAGTTGCCGTTCAGGTGAAAGTCCGGGTACTGATTTCTGTTTGTATGCCCATCTTCCATCAAATGAGAATGTTTATCAAGGAGATTTAGACTATTTAAATGGTCAACACTATTTATTCTGTTAGGTCATTTCAATGCACAATCCCCTGTGGTGTAGTAGAGATAAAAGTCCACGGGAAAAGCTATTCCATGACAACTATTCCATACCACTATCTCTGTATCCTCCACAACGCAGAAAGTAATTTCATTATCCAACAAGGACTTTCCACTTGATCTATCTTGCTATTGCCTTCCCGCAACTTCTGTCATTCTGCTCCTTTAGTGTGTTCGGCATTATCCATTTAATAGCGACCATATCCCAATCATCGTAAATTTTATAGGAAATGGAAGTTCTTATATCTCCGGAACACCATGGGTTTTATTGGATAAAGCAAAAACACATTTTCTCTTTCTCCCATCATGCCTATTTTACTGAAGAAATGGTAAATTATGTGCTAACTGATCATTCTCTAAGGGCTCTTAGTGATAAAATCGTTCAAGCAGCTGAAATACCTATTCCGAAATCATTGGTAAATTCCCAAAATACCCAAGGCCTTCGTAAATACTGAATGCCAGAATGTCATCAGAAAACAAAGGAAAGCGATAATTTCAAATCGAACATGATTACCTAAGAGAAATATAAATTCCTCTTGTATTTTACTAAACACATAAGAAACGGATCCCTTTTTGTGATTAGCTATATGATAGGCAATATTTCTATCATAATGACCTATTAATTCAATTCAGTTTAGGATCATTCCTGCACTTGAACTGCCAATAATTTCATGCGTACCTCTAAGAGGTAAATTGTGTTTTGCAGGAACCAAATTATGTCTAATATAACGCGTAAGATATGTCACCACTTTTCGTTTTCTGATTCTACTGCTTCATGCAGGGAAGTATCTATAAAACCATCTCCTTTAATTGTTTTTTCAAAGCATTTCCATTGAAGATAAGCATCACGATGAAACAGAAGTTTCGTGATCGAAAATTCGGTTTAAGTTTTTCCAATCTTTGAAACCTCTTTTTGGATTGGAAATAGTAGAGTTTGTCTTACTTTTAGTAAAAAAAATGCATGGAAAACAGAATAACGACAGTGATCTTTTTGAATAAATAAGCCAGTTGCGATGTATTACCTCCTATTAGAACACTTCTTAAAAAAACAATTCTATGAAAAACCTTCTGCCATCCTCTGAAGTAGATTCTACTGAATCGAATCTAGTGATTGTCAAAAGGCTAACTCAAAAGCACGTCAAGTGCATCGGAAGAGTTAGAGGAATTTGTGGATCTCGCATGCTTCTTCATTAAACTATTACTTCGAGTAAGAAGGTACTAGAAGGAGTGCCGAATGTGTCTGGTATATACAAAGATTACACACTCTCCGTTTAAAAGTTAAATGCTTATATAATAAGCAGCGAGGAGGGAATTGCTAATGTCATTGGAGAGGCGTACCTAACAATTTTACGATTTCAACTTTCTGTAATAAGAGTTCAAACAGCATCAATTCTTGCACAAAAAATTGAGCATTCTGTTCAACACGCACTTTAATTGTATTTATCACTACCAGATTTTCCCTAATGCTTTTTGAATTTGATCAGGGCCTGCTCTTTGCTTACCTTCTGTTGCTCTCCAACTGGGTGCAGCATAAAATGACTTTCGAACCCTTCCATAAAACTCAGAATCGAGCTCCTAACATAAAAAATAATGGCTGACTTCAACCATGTTTTTATAGAATCTACCAGATATCCGCGATCCCTAATAGGACTTGCCAGCATCCGTTCAGCTTGCAATCTTACATAGGTAGACTAAAGCTGTCGCTGTCTCGAGGCATATGTCGCTGCATACTGGGCGCTACTGTACAGTTCTACACTACATTGAACGCGAGATGTTAGAACCACGCTATTACTTCGAGTGACAGACAGATGACTCATTCCCTCCCGTCTTTAACTTTTAAAATACAAACTCGGATGATGTTTATTAACACGTCATCCTGATGGTTACACAAGTCATACAATAAAAGAAACATAAAAGCAGGTATCTGGAGGAAACTTAAAAAAATTCCCAGTCAGATTGCAATGTTATATATAAAGTAATAGGCATTTAAATAAGGTTCTCTAAGTATATCTACGAAACTAAAGCCCATAACCCATTTTAGCGTTTGGGAGATATAACAGAATAACTGGTCAACGATAGCTGCCGAAGTTTCTCTTCCAAACTTAATTCTGAGCAGTAGTGATAATATAGACAAAATAATAGATAATTGTATAAATTAATCCACAATTCTATAATTGAAAGGCATAATTTCATAATTAATGATATTATGTGTTTAACATCAAATTTTATCTTGTATATATAAATCATATAATTTAAGATTGATTAAAGAATTACTCTTCAATTGCTTTTTAATTGAATATTTATTAATTATAGCATCACTTTCATTACAGGAGGAGGGAGGAAATATTCGGCAAAGTATTACGGAGGTGCTCAGCTTTTACGATTGTGCTGAAATTTTCAATAGGCTGGCTATGTAAGTATCTTCTAACCTAAGTAACACAAGACAAGAGAAATGAGTTTTAGTAAAGTAGCAGAACAGTTAATGGAGGGTTATATGAAGATCCCCATGTCTTTGGAGCAACGGGCGCTTGAAAATGTGGCCTTAAGAATATGTCATAACTGTAAATTAAAGCAACACATTTTTTTCATTCAGCTGAAAACTTCAGATTCCCCTTCTGCTAAACAACTAAGACTGAAATGGGAGGAATCTATTTTAAAAGAATCTACAGAAGTGTGCAAGACACTGTTCCTGACACATAAAATCCAGGAACGTTTAATTGTTCTTATTCGAAAAATATCATTACAGCTTTTATTTTGGAGCGGTGTCTGGAAAGGATTATTTGATATTTCCTGCAATTTAACGGCTGATATTTGGATGTTAACTGATTGGGCGGATGGACGTCTAGATGAGAGAAAAATTGCTAAACATATTGTACTAGATGAGAAAATTTCAAATTATCAACGTTACAGATTGAGTTGTGTGTATTGTTTAGAGGAATCAATTTCTCATTTGTGGAATCAACTATCATTGAAAGAGAGAGCTTCGCTAATACGGGATGATTACGGCTTTCCGAAATATAAAGTAATCAAACTTTGGTCTAAATATATGCAAAATCCGAATTTTCCTAAAAATGATAACTTTTTCCTAAATCTCTTACACAAAGCATTGTATGAGTCGCTAATTAGTAAAGCGGCAGTTGTTTTCGCTTGGAATAAGTTAAGCAGTGTAACCAAAGAGAAACTTCTTGAAATCAATTGCAATATTGAAGAATATATTGTTGACAACGATGATGATGTTGCTAGTCACGAAAACGAACGTGACAATAACCATATTGATCACAATGAAGATCGTAATAATAATGATAATGAGGATGATGATAATAATGATCATTCTGATGACATGCTATTTCGCTATTTTATTACTACCGTTGTATTCCATAGAAAAGTGGAACCTTTAAAATACCTATATCCATTCATGGACGATTTTATAATATGGCTTCCTCACCCATTTGGATACTTAGATGCGATATGCTTTCTTTTATTACAATTCCGAAAATTCAGAGTTGCATCTTTCCAAAAATTGGCGAAAAGTTGCGAAAGTGTAATAAAGAGTTTCCTAAACTGGCCTCCTACTGATTTCACAACTGCAGAATCCTGCCTCAAAAATTATTCGACTGATAATGAAACGATAAATATTTTCTTTTCATAACAATTTTACATGCGTGTAAAGCTTTAAAATATTTTATCAAAATAATTCTGGAATTTTACTTTTTAAATTAAGATGCGAATTTTAAAGAAGACACCATTTTAGCGGATTTTAAAGAAGCCTCTTAAGAGTCTTAAAATTTAAGGAAAATAATGCAGTAAGAAACAGCATTCATGAATTTGAAAATTTTGTAAGCTGTGTATATTTTTCTTAGACACAATTCTGAACGGAAATAAATATGCCAAGTCTTTGAAGTGATGTCTTTTATTTGTTAAGCACATAACAGCTATTGCAAATTAATTCTCTGCAGAGAGGATTTTTTAAAGTGATTTATAGTCATTCTAAGGCACATTTATGATTAGCACATCAGTTCTGCTTATCTGAATATTTGATTATGGGAATAAACCAGTCCAAGTATACGAGAAAAATTATTTAAAAAAAATTAAAAATAAGAGTTGACTAACATTACAAAATTTCCCAGTGTTTAACATATTTTCATCTGTACAAAGGCTAATCATTAAATGTATTTTTATTATTACTGCAATTTTAAATTTTCATGTACTTATATCTAGGTTTAAGAAATGCCACAATAAAATTCCGCCCCTTAAATGCGTCAAAAGAACCATTACACGGAAACTGAGAAAGCAGAAATTTTAGCTCAACAGCTGGAATCTGTTTTGCAGCAAAAACAATCTTGGCGCAGCACCCTAAAACATTATTTTAATTACACTACAAATTCAAATGGGCAACATCATTTCAATCATGCCGTCAGCAGTGTATGACTATAAAAATTCTGACACTTCTCCCGCAAAACTTATTTGAGTATTACAGAGCCATTTTATTTTTGGAATAATTTAGTACTGTGAAGATCAACTTACAATAGAGGGTATTTACACATATTTAGAAGGATTTCAGGGCCGTTTAATATGCATCATTACTTTTCAAGTGTTCGATCTAATAGCCTTTTCTAGTGATTTCTTTGTTAGAAGAGCTTTTCCCAAACTTTCCACAGGTACCATTTTTTTCATTTCTTTACCAAAACTCTCCAGATTTCATTAACTGTGGTGGGTCTGTGCTTAGAGTTCTTTTCAAGAGACCAGCCTCACAATAGTCCATCCGTCATGGGACTTCGCAGGAATACATTGAGAAGATACTTGCATCAGTCTTCATTATCCCAACTACTGCAGTGGTACTTTATTGTTTTGCCTTTATGAAGTTTCACTCTTTGAACGTTATTTTTATATAAAAATGGAACTTCTTCTGTAAATATCGCAGTTAAAACTTTCTCTTGATTGTACGTTGAATTTATTTTAACATTTTTTCTCATTCTTCTTATTTTTAAATTTCTCTTTGTAAGAGAATCCTAAGAAAAACATAAACCCCTTACTAAAACTTTCTTTGCATTTATGAAACCGGATTTCTAAATTTTGTTTCCTTCGTTTCCATATTTATTATGGAAACGAAGGAAACAAAATTTTTTTATGTTGCAGTCATTTAGTTGAACCCACGTTTTATCAATGGTCACAATGTTTTCCATTTATCTCCGGATAAATAATTTTTATATAGCTTTTCAGAAGTCTTACTGCTTTCAGCCACAAGCGTTAGCAAAAGCTGATGAACATTGCTTTTTAGTCTTTGTAAGTTGTGAAACTTGGTTTATTATTTTTAAATATAACAGATATAATATTAGTTTAAATAAAGATTTCGCAATTGATTTTTATCTCAGAGGATATTCTCTTCCTACCAGCTGTTTAAATTTAGTATATATCTTGTACAGTACGTACGTTTTTCGGATATTCCTTTGGAGTCTTCCTTCCATGTAGATTGACATATTTTCCTTTCATATTAATAATGTTCTTTATTTTGCCTTTCGAAATTTTAATACCATGCCTTTCGCAACGTTTCTGTGTTATGGAATAAGAATCTTTCTTTTCGAAAGGAGCAAAAAACCTATCCTTTAATCCCCAGCTTATTTATATGCAACATTTTGAAAGAAGAGTAAATTTAAAAGTAGAAGAAAATATTTTTTTATTTCAAATGATGAGCTGTTGCCAGAAATATTTATTATAAAACATTTGCTTTTTTCAAAACTTTATCAAAATCGTTCTAGAAATGTGTAAACAACCCTCTGTAATTGAAGAGTTTTTTCGTAGAAGTCCTGTATTGAGACAAAAGATCAAACAGCCCTTACATCCCATGCAGTTTCAAGAACTTGTATTTAAGGGTATGAAGTAGTCAAAATTGATTCAAACCTACTTTATTAGATATGGTTGACATAGAACGGTGGATCTATTATTAACACTAGAAGTTAAGAAAAAGTTGTGAATTAAAAAAATTGCGCTATAACGTTATAACGTATAAGCATTAATCTTAAGCATATTATAAAGTAACTTTCTGATATTTTATTTAAAGACTTTTACCCTTAATGAAAGACTTCAGACTTTTACCCTTAATGAAAGACTGAAAATGAAGACGCCAGCATGCATTTAATTTCCGTTTAAAACTTGACAGTTTTGTGTGTGCAACAATTATTAACAATTATACATTCAATAGTAAAAAGTAAATACTATCACGATTTTTATGATAATTGCATTAGATCACCTAATATCTGGATTTCAGGAAATGGGAAATCCAATTATTCCGATGCCTCTTTCTTTTTAGAATAGGTAAAATATATTGAAGTGTTTTAATTTTATCGTTGCTTTAAATTGTATGAAAAAGCCACACAAAATACTGCTTGCTTTTCTGCATATGAAAATTCCTGTACCAAGACTTAAAAGCCACAAGTTCGAAGATCGGCTGAACTGCAAAATCTCGCTAAGCTTAGAAATGCTGCCCGCAGAAAATAGCGTTCAAGAAACTCAAAGGATAAGATCACTGTCAATAGGTTGCATAACTCAGTGAGGTCACTTACTAATAAATAGACACAAATTCCACTGGATGAACCAAGGTAACTCCTTTTTAACTGAAGACAACTCTGTTTGGCAAGCTGTATCGAAACTTACGAAAACCTTTCCTTCTATTCCACTCCTTAAGGCCTAAATATGATTCACTTGGTTGAAATTGAGAAGGCAGAAAGAACTGTTACTATCATATCTAGAATCTTAATTTCACATAAAGAACATTCAACTCGACGAAACACAACATTAAGTATTTGCTACACTACACAAATCCATAAACTAAATAGCATTAATTCAGAAGTCAAACAACAAAAATCAGCGTTAATTTACAAAATTTTCACAGGACTAGTTTCGATGGTTTTACCGAACCATCATCTTCAGCTGCAAAACCGCAAATGAACAAGATAGGAAATAATGTTTAGATAAGATAAGAAGAAAGCCTGGACAATAAGCAAGTGGCGCCATCTGTTGGCGAAACCAGAACTAAAACATAATTTCTCTAAAAGCCGAAGGCAAATTTGGATTGGAATTAGGATCGTTAACTAACAGAAAGATTTTTATGAATTAAATGCCCTAGAAAATCCGTTCTCCAATGGAAGATGTTTTTTGAATAAGTTTGGCAGCAAAAATTGAAAGTGTGATTTTCGACCAACATGTTGAGCACAAAGACTTCTTGTTTCCTTTTTCCTAACATATGCCTCATGTTCTTTGACGCGATTTTAAGGCTCTCTTAGTTGGCCAATGTAAATTAAACCGCACTGGCAAGGAATCCTATAAATACCCCAGGAATTCATATCCGGTGTTGGTGTATTTAATTATGGCAAAGCACACGAGGGCTATCTGCCTAAAGGGAGGGATGCCTTTCGTGGAGGACTTTCTAAGGGAAACTGGCTCGTATACACGTTACACATGGGGAAAACCACGAAAACGCCCATGCAGCCAGCCCGTTCACGGGATTCGAACCTCAGACCGAACTACCAGTGTTCAGCGTCTTTACCGCTCGGCCGCTGGTGGACTGCGAATTCATATCCGGAATGGGGTCCTTGAGTATAGAAGTTGGAATTTTATTGATGGGAGAGTAAACAACCCAAAAGTTAAATTTCTGCAAAATATGTGCAACTTTATAGCTAATTGATGGAAAGAATGGAATGACAACAGAATTTTTATAATCTCCTAAAATAAGAGTGTGGCTTTTATTGTGTTGAGATGAGAATTTTTTTAACTGCTTGATTAATAATGTTGGGTGAAAAGCCCCTGTCAATAGCTATTGCTTTTAAATAATTTAGTTCTTCATCAAGGCTAGTTTGGAGGAGCAAACTTGAAGAGCACGGAAAACATAGGAATAAAATGAGCTAACTTTTGTTTAGTCGGGACATGATTTAAAGTGTGTGGAAGGCAACCGATGAAGGTTTACGGTAAACTGTAGTACTGAAGTTGGATATGTTACGGTGACCAGAATGTCGAGAAACGGAAGAGAATTGCAAGTCTCAAGTTCAAAAGTGAACTGAATAGCAGGATCAATAGAATTCATTGTTGAAAGAACTCTATTTAAAATCATCTTTATTACCTTCAAACAGGGTAAAAGTATCGTCTACGTAGCGGAACCATGCCCGGAAGTTTAAAGTTTCAAACAATTTTGATTCATAATAATGCATGTAGATATCAGCCAGGATGGGGACTGAGGGGCTTCCATGGCTAATAATCCCTCAGTTTGTTTGTAATTTTATTTTGGAAACAAATGTGTTTGTTTCAAACAGAGTTGAGTGAGAGAAATTAATGAAGAATTCTGTTAAATTGCAAACTTGCCTTACTTCCGTCCGTGATAAGGGATACACGTCAACAATTGTCCAAATTGAACATGAACTCTATAAGCTTCATCTGGAACTCGCTAAAACATATCCAAAATTCACTGCCCTTGAACAAAGTCTTGGTCTAGAACGGAGAATGCAGTTAACCGTCATAAAAACACCCTTGCAGTTAAAATTCGAAAAAACTTCTTTTACAGTCTTCCAGTTCAAGTAGTTCAAAAAAATCTTCCCATTGTAAACATCAAGCCAATAGTTAATATTTCTAATGTTAGTCTTTCAGAAGAACAAGAGAGAATTCTAAAATATAATTTTAACTTCTCACAAACCTGTAAACCCTCCATTCCAAAGATTTTGGCTCCTATCGAAAAAGCTTTCAAGTTCAGTAAAGTTTCAGATTCACAGAAAGAAATGATTAGGCATCTTATCGCTCATAATGTGAAATTCAATAATAAACCTTTGAAACCAAAATCTAATGCGAGAGAAAGAGCTACAATGCACGAGATTCATTCTAAACCGGATATTGTCATTTCA